AAAGGTGTCACAAAGAAGTGATTAAAGCTAGCTAGATATTTGATTTTGATGGAACACAGTGTACACCCTGAAAGCATCAAATGACACTTAGCATTTGATACTTTGATACTGATGTGAGAGCTCACTTTGAGAGTTAATTATCAAAGAAAGAATCACTGACGCTCAATTTTTGGCCAAACCAGCACCTCAATGGCGGTCAAGCGCCAACTGCATAATTCTAACTGATCTATGATCTCTATCCTTTAGTGATCTCTACTTTCCTGCTGGCAAGTGTATCGCTATGATAAAAGCCAACAAAAAAGACTTTAAGATGTTACTTCATCGCAATATGAAGTTGATTCGCATTCGATTAAATTGATTCGTGAATTCGATAAGAGAATAAAACTGACAAAGTAACATACGAAATGAACTATCATTGAAGAGATTCACAGCCAACGATAGCGCAGTGAAAATTGCCGTAGGGACTTGCGTAACAAGGAATGCGACTGTAACTGCAGTGATAAGAATTCGAGATTGATCGCGAGGTGAACGTCCAAAACGATTGCTGAAAGGACGATCATTTAGAACGAAGCAATCTCCATAAAACACACCATAAAGCGACACATACTTCACTGACATTCCAAACCAATTTTGTGATTATTTTAATGAGAGCAACATCCGGTCAATAAAATAAATTAGTGAACATGCAAAAAACGTCATACACACAGTCATAAGCATGTTCAATTTCAACTTACTGTGTATCGTCAAAATCAATGCGAGGTTCACGAATGAACGCAATATGCAGCATAAGCAACAAAAAACCGGGCAGTATGAACTGGAATATAAACTCGCTCAACGGTAACGCAACTTTCCAAAATCGGCGATTGACTATGGTCAATAAAGCACCATCTGTTACCATACATCGACTTGACCAATAAGGTCCTGGTTCGGTATCTGAGACAATCGCAATAATCAATTCTACAAATCATTCTCTCATGTCAGTCAACCTAATGAGCTGATCAAAACATTCATTAGAGCAAGTATCAACTGCGGAAGAAGGCGCACATTTCCAATACTTGATCTCGAAATCGTTAAGGTATTTTACTAATCTTCTCGATTAATCACACAATCGATTTGATTTTGAGCAATATCAGCTAGGAAGTTTAGTGATTAAGTATGGTGGTTTAAAGAGAATAAAACCAACCTAAGCAAAATTGATACACATCACTGCCGTGTTCGAAAAATCGCAGCACTCCTAACGATACACATACGAAGATAATCGTCCATATGGCTCTCGAAAATCGTTGAATTGTTCGCAATTTGAGTGTATTCCGATGGTACTGTGTCAGAAATCTGCCGGAAACAGAATGTCGCATTGCATTCCGAACGGAAGTGATTACTGGTTTAAGTAATGCAACTACGAGACAAAGAATCGATTTATTTTTATTCGAAATTTCGAGTGAATTTGATTGAATGAAGAAATTCCGAAAAGCACCTTCCACCGCCCAGAACAACACTGAAAAGAGTCATCATCGTATCAACCGTATTCGGAATTGCTTCCATCGTTGTCCGAAACATATGACACATCACTAGTGACTGATTGAAACTTCTGAAATGCGCTCGCTCTTTAGTTTGAAAATGCAATCACACAACAGCTGTAATCGGAACAACTTTGTTAGCCACACGAACAATGGCCTCAAGAAGAGCCCGGATGTAGAATTGAATAGTCGTTTTGATTATGGTCATCAATCATACGCAAAACATACGCTTCCAACATGTCTATGTTCCTGCTATATGTATTTTCAACGAGTATGTCTTTTTGTCAGGACACTGTGTATGCCTTTCTCNGAATCAAATTGAATGAGTAAACTTTCATTGAGATTTATCAGTCGATTGCACAATTTTTTCAGGTTCCTCAGGCATCACACTGATAGTGAGTGTTCTCACTGCATCGGTAAAACTCTTTCAGATTAACTGATAAAAATAGGAACGGAGTTTTTTAAATTAGGGATCAGATCGTTCAGCCGATGAAGACTTTGTCGATGACACCTTCAAATTGGAAAATGTATAATAGAAGAGCTGATGAAATTCGGAAATTGGCCTCATGGCATACCTTGCTCCATCACCGACAATATAGTACCATGTTGAAAACGGTAATGGAGCCAGTAAACTGATCCAACCACAGAATGATAGTAGCCAAATCATTTGGTAGAGGGGATTCGGCTGCAAACTGATTACGATCATTTCCAAGCAGAACAGCAATATATTTCCCAATCGGGATACATTACAGCACCTAGTAAAGCGACGAAACTGTGTCTCTAAACCGGCATCAATGCATCCTTGCAGCGTCTCAGCGCATAGCATCAATATGAAAGGAGCACAACGCTGAGCGTCCTAAGAAATATTTTCAGCACAATAACATTCGAAAGCAAATCAGCTTGCGTCTTATTGAGAAGGAGTCGACTCAAATATCAAGAAGGAATAAAACACATCATTATTATAAAATCATACAATATTCTAATGTCCACTTAATGAGGATTGTTTCCGTCTGTTCACAGTATCAGGCTTGATTCAGTTGTTATTTGTTGAACAAGAAAAACTCACATATCTGCGGTCACCTTCCCTCTTCTCGCGCTTCCCCATTCCAAGAAGTATTGCACAAAGTGGTGCCATCATAGTGATCACAAGTAACGGGTATATGAAACCATAGACTACCACATGCGACCAACTGCTGTTTATACGACCAAACATGAAGCCAACATTTTTCGAGACCTTGCATTTTTTTGTTGGAAAGTCGTAGAAGAAATCATCACCACAACAGCATTTCGATGCCTTCAAATCGATACAGCAATGTGAACATACGTCTACATTCCTNTTTCCTCACTTTTCAGTGAGATACCTTCGAAATACTTATTTGGTCGTAAGGAAGTGGTCCGTTTGGTGGTACCAAGAAGTTATTCGCAACAATCCACTTGATCAGTAAATCAACTTTTTGATTTTTTCAGTCGTTTTACTCAACATCGATGAAAGATAACGAGAACGCACCCGTTGTTCGTCGGTAGCACATTGATCAGAGGGTATAATCGATATGTTAAGTATGGTCAGATCTGCGTCTCCATCGATTGTTGTCAGAAACATTGAAGCATTCGTCGACATACGGCAATTACTGTTGAAATGAGCTGATACTGGATATTATTCTTGAAACGTCCACCGACATATTCAGAATGATCATCGTGACTTTTTTTTGACACTTTATGGACGATGAACAAACAAATTATGCTGAATGAAACGTGACTGCATGAAAATATAACTGGATGAAAATGAAAACGCAAACCGCGTTTATAAACAAAGCTTGTGATAATGACGCAGCTATTATTTGATGTTACTTGAAGCAATAATTATTCAAGAATTCATTTACTCTGTGGTTCTTTCCTATTGCTCACCTCCCAGGATAATGCGACATTGAATCATCGCAGTTATCGCAGCATTCGTTAGCTGTTTATTGATGCATAGTTTATATAATGATCGCTTTATTTCAATTCAATATGTCATGACTTGCAAGAGAATTTAGTAATTACCGTCAGAGAAGAATTTATTCAAAGAAACTCAAAAGTATTACGGCGTTACATTTGTAATCAACTTCAATTAAATACAGCGTTTATAAGAAGGGAATTCAACCAGTGAAGTAGTTGAACCAAGAATCAGGACAACGCTTAGATCACAAGTGATCAAGAATTGAGATTGCAGCACTTAATGCAGAATCGCAAAATAAGTGGAAACACAATGGTGAAAGTAATGAATGTGGTGCAGCAACATGAAAACTGCAGATTGCAAGTTCAGAACGCAGGTATAATAAATGCTATCAATAATTTTATCATCCACTCATACCTGCTAATTCTTCCAAACAATTGAGCAATTATAAACGTATGCGAATAATACGTCAAAGCGCTATGAACAATGAAAAAAGTGTTTGATGTCTTTAGGAGAGTTAGGGATAAGGTACATTCGGCTGGTACATAAGTTCGTACACTTTTATTCAAACTGAATTATTCCGGCGAAAGTCCACTTTTCCGGAGGAACTTCATACACCAATCGATAGCGTGTTTTCTACTCTTCGCAACTGTTTCCTTTGGATCTTCAGCAATGACGAAAGGAAGTGTCAAGTGGACGTAAAAATGCATTTCCGACAAGTGCTACTTTGTGCAATCAAGGCTCAACGGTCGCTTGTGACATTTGCGCCGTATACTGAGATGATGCAGTGCTGGTAAGAACATCCCAGAAATGGTTTGCGAGGTTCGCGAAGGGTGAAGGACGTTGTGATGGGCCAGTAGAGCGGCTGCGATGCTAGACCGCTGAACCTTGTTACTTTCGCTCAAAGGTGTGGGACCCACGTACCGACCTACTGAACCTTTCCTATCGCTTGCAGGTGTCGTGCAATTTGTTGGTGGAGCCGACGTCGTTGGCCTCAAGAAACGCTTCTTGTAGTTGTACAGCAATACGTTGTACGGTGGGTGATGTGGAGAAAGGACACTCGAAAGGACATTCGAATTCTACGTTTATGCCTTAGAACCGGACATTGATATCCTGGTGTCATATCTAGTGCTGGACACAGAACAAGCTAAAAATGTGAACGTCTGAGTATAAAGCTAAAAAAATCCGAGTTCACTGCAAAAAACGTTCACATACTGATGGGAAAGATGTTCACTTGCAGATTTACACATTGAAAATTGCCCCAGGAAATGTTGTCCTCGTTATTTTCGCTGTTACACAATGAAATTGCAGAATTGCTTACATTTAGAGCAACGTGCACTACTCATTCAGTTTGTGATAGAACTGAATAGCGTAAATTCTAGAAGCGAAAAGCTATCTAGCAATGTGTTGAAGTCCCTGGCTGCTAATTTGATGATTTACGATTGATGATTTGCTTTATTTGGGATGTCATAATCAATGAAATGTGTGTTGTGTCCATAATCGGTTCATTGCACATCATTTGCTAACATCATTCAAAAACAAATTTTCGAAATTAATTTATCCTAAAAAACGAATAAAAAACGAATCATGCCATCAAGAAGTATGTGTTCGTGTCAGAAATTAGATGATTCAAAATGTACGTCAAGGTTAATGAAAGCGATAAAATCAAAATTTCAAAACGCACATTACCAGTCGAATTAAGTGAAGATGATGGGAAGTCTCTTCCCATCATCTTCTCTCTTCCCATCGTAAAGGGTTAGTAACAAGACAAGCTGGCATTAGTTGATATTCTGNTCCAGCAATGATTCGCACATAACAGAGAAACAGTACGGCGAGTGGAGTGGATTTCCTTATCTTTCGTATATCTGCGCTGGGGTGCGCGCTTCAAGCATACATCCACGCAATTTAATCGGAAATATTGTTTAAACGACCGCATCGTTGAAAGGATTCTTCGCAATTTAAAGTCGCGATCCGTTGAAAGTAGAATAAATCCCGAAGTGCATAACTTTTAATGGTTTCACCGGTGGAATATCAGTGATTGGATCAGTGATAATTCCATAATTTCTATAGTTCTATAAGTTCTGTAAGCAATGCTCACAAACATCAATTTGAGGGCATTTCAGTGACAGCGCGTTGTTGTTTCGAGAGAAATATTGTGATTCCATTTCATTGGCAACCATGTTAATACCTCTTAACCGAACTCACTGGTATTCTTCACTTTTTTAAGATCATCGTCACCATAATCACAATAAGCCTGTTAAGATGCGCACGTGGGAAGTCGTAAAGGTGCTGATGATTCAGTGATAATCAATTAGTTGTTAAAATGACAGAATATTGCTAAGGCTTCGGGAATTGAAGCACTCGAAGGAAGTGAGAATTGACGTAGAAACAAAAAGTTGGAATTTCAACTGAACACGATTGAAGCATTATAAAATCACTCAATCGAAGCAAATCAAACCTTGCGACCAGAGCTTTTGTGATAGAGTTTGTTGAAAGTAGCGAATGAATAGCTGAATAATCAGTTGAGTTGAAAGGGGATGATTAGTAATGTGAGAGTGATCAGAGTTACGATTTGAGACTTGTGGAAGTTTTACAGCTTAACGAGTTGTGGAAATTCGAGACGAGACGAATGAGATGAATGGCTGTGATAAATGGACGCAGACGAGTACATAGATAGATGCTTTATCTAAAGAGATTTCATCAATTGAAAGCTTTCGATTTTAGTGCTACATCTAAACATGCATGTTCATTATATAATATGACTTTATCATGCGTGCATTCCAAGCTTCATGTGTCGAACTTCAAGTGCATTTTGCACAAAATCTAGACGTGAGTCTCGGAATCTTTATTGTAATTGCGGAATCAGCGCACCAAAATCAGATAAAAACACCTACTCGTTCCTCTGCTAATGTAATCATCAAGGATGATTATCATTGACGTACCATTGATAAGGTCTAGTTTCCGAGCTAGTTTGTTCAGTTGCGCATTACTGGACAATGATTGTTGAGCGAAGTGGCGCCACTATTGCAATGATACCGATTTCATTGTTATTCTGTTGTTTGTGTCTACTCTCAGAGCCGTAAATATGAGTCAGCACTTCAGCAACTCCTTCACAACAGCATCCCAAACAAGGTCCTATCATCCGAACTCAAACAGTACCGCTACAGCTGCTTCCTTCAATACTGCGTGAGTGCACAAATAGACTCAAAATGAAAACAGCAAAATATCAGCAAAGTAACCATTCACTGGTCCCTCAAAAAGCTCAAACGAACTTTCAGACTAATCGGTTTTCCAGAAGAGTAACATAGCAGTGAGCAAGAAAAGTCGTAAAATATGCAATTTTATTACTTATCGCACAATGGAAAGCCCAATAACAATAGACATAATGCAATTCATATCTATATTACATTATGAAGTATACCTATATTACATTATGAAGTGAACCAGTCGAGTGCAGCACACTGAGACAAAATCAAAGTAATGACGCCAAAAACTTCAACAAAATTGATTTGATCGAGAGCATTGAATGGATGGCATTGCATTGATCACCGTCGTCTGTATGCGTCAGCAATTTCGTTTTGGACTGGTTGTGAGTTGGTGTTGACGTGTAAGGCTAACGGAACATCATAGCCACCGCTTGACATCGGATGTGATAATGGGGCTGGTGCTAAGCTCGCTGCTGATACGCTTGATGCTACCGAGCCTACTGAACTAGTGCCACTGCTCCGACTGACAGCCATCATTGGTGCCGGTGCTGCACAGCCGCCAGCTGATCCAGCACAACCGTAACAGCAAGATGGCATTGGTGACGCACAACAACAACACGATGATAACGGTACACTGGCACAACATCCTCCACTTGGTCGTGCTGGAGCAGGTGGAGGAGGTGGTGGGGGTGGGGGTGGGGGTGG